ATGTTTTCGCATCCGTGTCTTTGAGTGTGAGAATGTGCTTATGGAGATTATTCTCAACTCGAAGAAGAAGAGGTATTTCAAAAACGTATAACTTGACTTGAAAATAATCCTTAAGATAGAAACCGTAGGTGGTTTAACGAGAGCAAAATCACTGGACAGCACAGACAGTATTTTAACCTTTATTAACTTTTATAAAGGTGAAACAAATGCTAGATAATATTGGTTATTTAAATACAGAACAATAACATCCATAAACAAATGTTGACCAATTTAAATTTTACTGCATTAAATTACTCAATGTCGCTTGCGATATGTTTTTCTTTTATGTTAACCACTGGTAAAACTTAACATATACATCTTTGACAATTAGTTTACTAGTATATACTGCACGATTTAGTCAATGTATTCGATGCAAATTGTAAAAGAAGGAATGTTTATTTACTTATGTATAGATGATTAAATTAAAAGAGTTTTTGCTAAATATCCTGATATGTCAGTGCACCTCACCTTTTATCATTGCTCGCACTAGCTTCATAATATGAACGGGTTTTACGAACCGATTCCACATGACGACAATGATTAAGGCATTGTATTTTACAACAAACTAAATCCAAAGGTTGCTTATTGTTCGATTATAAGTATGGTCGATTTCTGACTCAGACGCCATTTTGTAATCGGTATATCAAGAAATAATATCCAACAAATCGTCGACAGTAACAACACCAATGGTTTGGAGTGTTCCCTAACAAAATATTTTAAAATACCAATGGCCTTAACACAAAATAACTCATACAAAACTAATGTCAACAAATCCATTACACCTACATATTTGGAAAAATAAATCATAACATAAGCATTTGAGCTGTTGCTGTGTGTTTTCCCTTGGAATAGTTTAGTGGATTGCAAACGTTGCCCCGGGTCGGGACATTCTCCGGTATTTTGGTGGGAACCCCCATCCCACGCCCTAGGGAAACCCGACGCAGCTTCCAACATCTGGAGGCTTGAGAAGTCCCTCTTGATCCTGACATCCTGCAGACCAACCTCTGTATGTCCTTAGCAGCCGACAGATGGTATACACAGTGCAAAATACAATTATAGCTGAATTCGGTGGATTTAAGTTAAGGGCATTGTTTACTTCCGGAATTCCCATTAATTTGTACCCATGATAGCTATGTACTCGTGTTTTCTGTACACGTGATCACTTAATCGTGATTGCTTTTTACTCCTGATTGCTCACATGTGATTATTTCGTAAGCTTCTTTCTTATGATTACCATGTGCTTTAGATTAACCTGTACTTACCATCACAATAAACCGTAGTCGTGATTACCATTTACTCATGATTACATTAAAGTCTACCATGATTGCTATGTCCTAACTATTATTTTGTGTTCATGATTAAGTCGTGCCCTTCACTTTTGGTGACTGAAAAAGAAACCCCATCTGTATAGACGAGATCTAGAACTTTTTTTTAAAAATAGAACACAATCGAATGAGCCACTCACAATAAGTTATCAACTCTGAGTGTGTCACTGTGAAAATACTATTTTCTCTTTTATTTTTATATAGTTAACAATACGATGTGCTTTCAATTTGGCTAGGTTAACAGTTTTGGGTATCGTTAGGAATAATCAGGAATTAACATTTTGTGCTCTGACGGTGGTTCAATTCAATTTTAAAGCTACAACTTTAACTTAGGAATGAGACATTTTCTACTATCAATAGTAAAAACTTTTACTCGTGATTGCTTTCTACTAACGACCACTTTGTACTTTTGGGTGTCGTCTATGCTTGGGAACGTGAAGTTTACATTCTAACAAACCTTTCTTGTACGATTGAAAGTCAAGTCAAACAAAACATGTGGTGATTTGGCGCCAGCTGATTTAAGGGAGGCGATCTGACAAAATCTTTACTAGGCCGGGCAGAAACATCTTGGCAATATTTCTGGAGGTAAGAAATCCCGAACTGAATTTTATAATCTGACGCCTGCTTTTACAGAGCCGTCTGTCGGAGTGGCAAGTAGTCTGCGGTCGGATCCAGGAGGAGTTTTTAATAAAATTCACGAAAAATACAATTAATTTATTCATGAAAGGTTTTAGATAATGTTTCTGTTGTAGTTGACTCATTAACTCATTCACTACCAGGTGTCTACATACGCTATATACAGGGGAGTGTGACAGCCGGTAGTGAACCTGTTAAATTGAAAAACACATATTTTTCATGCAAATCCCCTCTATGTTATCATAAAAATATAGAATAGGAGCAAATCAAGCCAAATCAATATTAGCTACAGCTAAAGTAAAAAAAATAATGATTTAAACCTTATGTTGTTCATTTGAAAAACATATTTGTCCTAATATCTGTACAAATGTTATTTAATATAGATTTGTACTATTTAAAATGCACGACAGTTAGCACACAATAACATTTTTGTACAATTATTTTGGTGACATTTATTTAACAGTAAAAGAATATGATATTTATTAATTTTGAATTTGTAAATTATTGGTGCATAGACCCTTTAAATGTACACTTATAGTAAGCAATACATGGTGTGCTTTAAGACCACGTGTCAAAGTTTAAATATTGTATTCAGCATGTAGTGCCAGTTACCAACTAAATGAAATTACAAATATCTGAATCAAAGATTTTTTATCAACATAATTAAAAAAACCTATATTCAAATAAGATATATTTAAACGTGCTCAACAGTTGTTATTTAAGAAAATCCTGATAGTTATGATCAATAACACAAACTCAATCACTTATCATTATTAATCTTGCACTCTAGCATATCTAACATTTTAAATCAAGAAATAAACTGTTTAGTTTCTATAGATTGAACCTAATTATATTTACAATGCAACAATGGAATTGATTGTTCAGCTCATGGTTAAAATACAAACCTAGCTGATTGCATGTATAATAAAATACTCCAAACAAAACAATTTTAGTATTTTCACAGACAATTTAGTTGCTTTGCTCCATTAAGTTTAAACCTTGAAGAGCGCTAGTCATGAGCTAGGTTAAACATATCACCGCGTACATTCCTATTGCGTCATGAGTTTGGTTTGTGTCACACCCTGTTAAACCGCTTCTGAAAAATAATGAAGTAAATGTTTAACAACCTATCTGTAACAAGGTTAGGGAATTCAGAACAAAATCCTAATTTAAATGCAAAATGAAAATTATGTAATTTGAATAAAACTTTAACATACAGTTAAATTAATAATTTAAAAGTAAAAGTATCTCTAATCAATATCAATCAGCTATATTGCCATGAAGATCAGGAGGTAGGTTAGTTCATGAGATAATTACTCAAAATGTTTGAGTAATTAAATACTTTAACAAGTCCCTAGAGTATTAATTCAACCATCGGAACTCATCGATGTAAACCAAACGTGTAGTCGAATTCGTACTTAAAAATTGTATTAGTAAGATTGTTTCTTTGTAGATTGTCAGTTCCGACTTATCTTAATCTGAAAAAAATCATATCCTACTGCATATTTCATATTGCATAGTAATTATTGTATATGTATTAACTATCAATAATGGTAACGGTTTGAATGTCAATTTGCAATTTTGTAGTTTTTTATTTAACTTTATCTACAGAGGCAACATTTCCAAATTGTTAGTTTTCGTCAAAAGCCAATGTAAACTCTTTACAGTGATTTTATGACATTTTAAATTAATATTAACTGATTGTTTCGTAATTTTATCCAGCTATATATCAATATAAAATTTTAAAAATAATAAGTCACTAACCAAAACAAAAATCTTTCATGCGCTGAAACATGTTTAGAAATAGTAATATTGAATATAATGTCATTTTTCGCAAACTTATACATTTTCTTTTGTATCTAAGTGTATGATATCAATTTTGCGAACCAACGAAAATCCGATCATTACTTGATTACTCAGGTACAAATAAAAGTGTGGTGTTTAATTAAAGTATTCATTAAACATTTATCCCTCACTGATTTCCCTTTTAAAATACGCACATTGATGTTTGGGCGTGGTCATCGATATACATATATAACCATTGACTAAATATACCTGTAGGTATATATAGTCAATGATATAACCTATATAACATACTAGCAGAGTACCCGTTCTTCGTACGGGGTTGGCGTATAAGTGCAAAATGCTTATTGCAGTTATACTCTTACTTTGCGTTTGCAATGAGAGAGGACACAGTTTAAGAAAATTTGGTTCTTAAATTTACGGTATACTATAGTATATGGTACATCTACCCTATCCATAATGTTCTACCACTGCACCCAAACAATAGAATAAAGTAAAATTCTCATTGTGTATCGCTGCTTTTTGTTGCTCCTTGGTTCAAATTAGCTGTTGTCATAAAATGCAAAACAATTAATAGTGCTGGACTCTGTCGGTAAACCTTTTTAATCTTTTATGCTATTGAATATCATAGAACCAACTTGTGTAGATAAAACAACTGACAACATTCTGTACTTCCCTTTAAATATAAATACTTGTAAGGTTAACATGGGAAACTCTAGAGCCACTGGGGCAGAGCGCGAAAGAAATTTTTATATAAGAATATGTCAATTGGGAATGTGAGCTATCATCATACCAAATTTCTAACAAATCCGACCAGTAGCTAATGTGAGATTGAACTTCAAACAAACAAACACACTTTCACATTTATAATATTAGTATATGATGATATCGATGGGCGTGGTACATCCAATCAAGTCAGTTTTGTTGATGAACATGTTGTGTTGTGCAAATTGTGTATCTCCAAAAACATTTTCGTCCGTTTTCTCTATTTAGGATTTTAAAATTTGAAACGCCGCTCTTGTGAATGAGTGATAAGCCTCACATCTCTTATCAGGTTGTAGGGGGGGGGGGCTTGAGGTCGCACGGATCTCGGGATTTCCTACGGAATCTGGACTAAAGGAGGGAGGGGAAGGGGACGCCCCTCCAAAATCAAAACTTGTTCGCGACCGTGCGGCCACTCAGTAGTTGTGTGTGGTTGTTTTGTGGTATCAGTCATCAGTCTGGTTTGATCACTAGAGTGCGAAACATCAGCTGCAACAGTGTTTATCATCAGAACAGACAACAGTTCAACATGTGGAGGTAATTGTTTTTTTGTTTGAAATGACTTAATTAAAAAGTTAAATAGGTTTTCTTGTGAGATTACTTGAAATTCAAAACTCAAAGATAATCTTCTTTTAGGAAAACATTAAACTGTTATCATCGATGAATTTAATTTAGAATACAGTGTTGCCTACCATTGTGTTACTAAAGTTGCTTTAAGTAGAAAAAAAAACTATTTTACAGTTTTTACAAGTGTTTATTATCAGAATTTATGAATTTAAACATACTTTAAATAGATTGTTTTCTTACATAGCCTGCAGCATGAAATCAAAATAGTGTTAATTTTTGCCTTATATAACACTTCACAATGTTATTGAATAAATCGTCTAAGATAACCGAATATAAGTAAAACATTCAATTAATTTTTGTTCTTAATTTTAGCTATATTTAATGTAAAAATTCGCCAAAATAATCTTCTTTGAAATAAACATAATATTATTATTGATAATTTGGTGTCACATCGATTACTTTTAACGTTGTTACTGTGTGAACATAAAAATACCTCCGCCACAGCAAACCTGCAGACTAAGCGAATTTCCATTTGCCTGATTGGATTTTCACTAAAAGATCTCTTAAAATATTTCACAATCATTTCCTATTTAAATTACATTAGTTCAACGAGTACAACGGTTTGCTGTTACAGAGAAGATAATAAAGTGGTTTTAGTGAAATCTCAATAATTAAGTATAAAATAAATAAATTTTCAAATTTTTATCAAAATAAAGTGTTTGTAAACAAGCAAACTACAACAGTTTACATATTCTCTATAAGAATAATATGGGAATTTTAAACATTAGGTTTTTTTATTTTTTTCTCCTAAAATTAGGCGCATAACAACGCTTCAATATACCAAATTTAGCTCTAAAAATGGAGAAATTGTAAAGTGTTATTTTTTTAGGGCTACAAATGAGAAAACAAATTTTTACCCCATAAACCTCCGTTCCCTCAGTTCGATCATGCTGGTAAGCGAACTCGTACGAATGAATGTAGATGGATGTAGAACACGTTCATCCAAATGTCACAAAATTTCATCAAAATAGGATCATTTTCGCTCGAGTTATCGAGTCAACGTGTCCGTATCCGTCAACGTGTATCCGTCAACGTGTACATATTTGTATCTACAGAGTATGACAATGAAAAAATGAACAATGGTGTTTTTGGCCTCTGATTACCTCAATACGGAAAAGGAAATTGGCCCCGGGCCCGAGACCTACGGTAATAGTTTATTCCCTACAGGGAATTCACTAAAACTTTATTGAGTAAAATTTTAAACGACTATAAACAGTGATATTGACTAAATTGGCTTTTATGGTTTATTTGGGGAAAACAATAAATGTTTATTGATATTCGTCACGATATGAATAGTAGAGTACTTTAAACATTGTTATTGTGAGAATATGTCAACATACATTTTTTTCGGACCCCTTTAACTATTATTATCTTTGACTATCCAATAGTCAATGCTATTATGTTGGTTGATTTTTGCCATAGCCTTTAGAATTGTTTTTGCGTGTAATTGCAAATATAAACTTCTTTCAGGAAATCTTTAAGTATAATTGTTGATTTTTTCATGTATAATAATTTAGGTAGTGTTGCCAACTTGGTAATGGACTTTTAGTTATTTGTTATTTATTATTTCAGTTTTAGTTTCAAATATTTAAACAACTAGCAGAGTACCCGTCCTTCGTACGGGGTTGGAATATAAGTATAAAATGCTTATTGCAGTTATACTCAAGCTTTGGGTTTGCAATAAGGGAGGACACAGTTTGATAAAATTTTTTTTTTAATTTACAGTATTCTATTATAGTATTACACATCTACCATAGCCATATAATGTTCTACCACTTCACCTAAACAATAGAGAAAAATAAATTATCAACAATTAATAAAATATCACAAATTATTCATGAAATGAAAAACATAAACATAACTGTAAACAATCCTACTTTGACAGTTCTCATTGCGAATCACAGTTTTTTGTTGCTGATTAGTGCAAATTAGCTGTTTTCATAAATGCAAAAAAATATAGTGCTGCACCCTGTTGGTAAATCTTATAACTAATGCTTTTCCATATCATAGAACCAACTTTTTTAGTTGAAACAGCTGACTAAATTCTTTAATTCCCTTTAAAGGTAACATAAGGTTAACATGGGGAATTACAGAGCCACTGGGGCGGAGCCCGAAAGGATTTTTGAGATAAGAATATGGCTATATGTTATTCGGGAATGTAAGCTATCATCATGCCAAATTTCAGCCCAATCCGTCCAGTGGTTTATGCGTGATTGAACCTCAAACACACAAACAAACAAACACACAAACTTTCACATTTATAATATTAGTAAGATAATTTGATTTTTAAATGAACTATTGTCTTATTGTTTGAAGAAAATGTAGGATCCTATAATTGTAAACATGTTTCCAACAGTAGTTTTTGCATTTAACTAATTATTTGTGATTGTGTTTGCTGGCTGTTTACCTCATACAATTATATCGTACATACGTATTACGCTCGTTTAAACAATGTATAAGTTAGAAAAAAATATAAATTGACAAAATGATCTAGTTTACCGATTAATAATGTAGTCAAGTTCTATCTACTTCTAAATCACAGTCTCTAAATACGCGATAAACATTAAATTAACACCCCTACATAGTAGTAAAGTACTGTATGTTCAATACACGCATTTAAATGAATTGCATTGAAGTCCAGAATAATGACAATAAAACCTCAATGAATATAATCGATTTGACTGTTAATCATTTAAATTATGCCTCAAACGTGGCTGAACAATGGAACATAAAATTACGCAGCAGAACATCTTCAAATTCAATAGTTTAGTGTCGAGATAATTAGTGTAAATGATTTAGTGTCTGTGTTCAAAACTTAACACAGAAATATCAAACTACTTGATACCTTGAAAAAAAATCATTTAATATTACATTAGGTATTTATGAATTACTTTGTATGATATTACCGTAGTACTCATGGTAAGACCTGGACCCGGGAGCATTTTTTTTTCGTTTTGAGGTCCCTAGAGGGATAAAATAATTTCGTATATTACGATTGTGTTACAGTATATTATACCATCGATATCTCGAGCGATCGAATAGGCTAACACCTTACCTAATAATCGATCGATAAATAATTTCGATCGATACGATTGTCACAATCGAAATTTACAACTGTTTACAGCAGCTGATTTTTACTCCTTAGAGAGTAAAAACGCTACTCTAGACCCGCAACGCATGCATTAAAACGGCTGTTGTTGCTGCAGTATGACGAAAAATTTATTTAACAATATCAATAGTACACTCAGTAAAAGCTCGTTTAAACTAAGTTCTCTTCGATTAAATACAACTGGTTTTTATACTGTACAATGGATGTTTACTTCTTCTGTATCCAAAAACACTACACGAATAGGTACTTAAACAGAATTGGTATGGATCATGAATATAAACAATTGACGTTGCTAGCCCGAAAATAAAGATTATTTAACATTGCTTGAATGGAATTTTCGAAATCATATGCTATTAGTAGTATAGTATTCGGACCAGTAGCGTCATTTTTTATGTTTATGATCCATAGTAGTACGTTTTCTGTGTCCATACCGGGTTCTCTTCAAGTATTTGTGTCCAAAATCAATCTTAATGCTGGTGTCTGAATGTTGGACTACTTACGGGAGCAACTTGTATTGATGTGTTTTACTCAAATGCACATGTTTATAAAACACAGCACAATTTTGAACACCGTCGTTTTTATGGATAATTTTCGTATAACTATCTTGTCATCTCAAATCAATGTCATGGGTGGCGGAGAGGTTTAACATGCTCGCATAACAATCAGAAGGTCGCCGTATCAAATGAAAAGTCATATTAGGATAGTTTGAAAAATAACCCAGCTGTCCTTGATTATTAGGATTTTAATAAAAGGTCTGGCTAATGAAACAGCTGATCTTAGTCACAACAAAGGTACGCAAAATACGTATACGAAGTGGGTTGTCCTAATGAGGTTTTTAAGTACAGAGGTTTTCAACATCGGCTACCTTGAGGTACCTTCATAGCTTACACTACCTTGAACATCCCGCATATGCATAACCGAAACGCATACCCAACTCAAAACGTGACCAAGACTAGTAATTAATTGTATCGCTATCCACTCCCCGTGTGTAAAATACTTTGGCGTTTAATAATGTAAAATAACCCTTATGAACTCCATTATGAAAATACAAGAAGCAAATATGAACTAAAATATCGTAATTTATCCATTCACACATGACATTGTGTGCAAACATTACCCAATGTTACCCTTGCTCTTCAGATGACTTTAATATAAGCATCAACGAGGAAAACTACTCCAAACCCGTTTTTATTGGTTTAGCGACTTAAACAACTTTTAATTGACATTCTCTTGATAGCGTTATCATTTTTATTAACACCAACAATCTTCAAACCTAAAGCGGTCCTAATGAAACTCTTGTTCAGTTATATGACCTTTCAACCAATCAAATTACAGTACTGTGTAGTGTGATCTGAAATCTGTTGATTGGTAAATGGAGTATTAAAATTCGATCTTAGTTTTTTGTTTGCTTTGGATAATTGTTTAAATTCCTAAGCTTCAAGTGTTGTTAAATATTATATCAATCGTTCTGATGTTTTGATTTATGAGCATTTTGCAAAGTGTATGGTTGAAAATGAACAACCAGTTTTCAGTATTATCTTGGAAATCCCTGCCTGAAGTTAAGGCATGTAGTTGAAGTGATTTGTTTTCAAGGATAGCCTCTTGCATTGGCGTTTAAACATCCTCATTTTCACACGATATAATTACTCAACAACCTCAATTGAGGAAATACTGTCTGCAACTGTTACAGCTTCTACAGAAAAAACATGTTGGATACTAAATCGTAATTTTGGTTTGTTTTGAAGACTTCTTGGAAAAATTGAGGAATTTATAATCAGTTGATAATTTACAGTTAGCATCTTTTGTGTCCTGAAATACTAGTAGTTGTTTTGAATTGTAACCCTTAAATAGGTCTAGGAAAAAATTCTATCCTATAGTATATTAACTTGTATATTTAAAATTGTTTGATAATAATACACACATTTTATACCAAATATTCAAATATTCTTAATAAATATATTAAATTTAGTTTATGTAATCAAGAATAAAACCACTTGAAACTGTCATAGTAATTGTGCAATAATACAATTGTTTAAAAGCAGTACCTATTTTCAAAAATTTCAAAAACTCGTTCGGCTACATATTTGTATATTTTGTATTGTTTTTTTTTTTTTTATAAATGGTCCTAGCTAAAGAAAAAGTTGATTTGTATCAGTTACAAAATAATAGCTTTTTAATTCATTCAACATCACACCTTAAAATAAATATGGTACCTTGGAGTATCCAGATCATGTAAATCCAATTCATCCAATTCCATATTTGGTTTCTGAATACTACTCACATCCCAAATAGTTTTGAATGAAGTACCGGGTACCGGTAATGAAAACTTCATGTAAACAGTTTTTATACTTTAGGATTAGGGGCAAAAAGTGTTTCTCAGAATTGACACACATTACTAACTCAAACCAATTTCCAGGATCACTCTCGCCTTGCTGTTCATCGCTGTACCTTTACAAGCCATGATCGTCTTTGAGAACCCCGCAGCCGCCAACAGCAGCGCTGGTGGGTTTTCGTATTCAGATCCGTACCGCGAGCGAGCCAACCAGGCGATTCGTCGAGCTCTGGCTGACTTCACACTGCGCCTGGATGACCAAGTCGCCCCAAAGCCAGGTTTCTCCTCGGAGTCCCCCAATGTTGTATTCTCGCCGCTGAGTATTGCCTCGGTTCTCGCCTTGGTGTTACTGGGCGCTCGAGGACAGACACAGGCTGAAGTGGCTAAGCTGTTGGGTGTTACTGCTGGGATTGATCTCACTGGGAGGTTAGACTATACCTGTTGACTATGTGAAATAAGATTATATTTACTTGATACAAATACGTACAAGTATAGAGGGACAGTTATGGTCATGTCTTATCAGAGGTGTTGCTATGGAATGAAGGATTTGCTTGGGATAAACATAAACATTATGGCCAAGATTCATAGAGCCTTATTAAAGGTTGGCAGCCTCTTTTAACCTTGAATTGCCCACATAGATTGATAGCTGAGTGATTATATAACTCTTCCGTGAATTAAAAGTTAAATCCCAAGAAATGTCAGTACTGTCTATATTTTTCAGCTTCTAAACTCATTGATCATTCAAATTTCAAAGGATTTTAATAATAAATGATCCTGCCAAAGAGGTTTAAGCTAATTTTACACAGCTACAAAGCGATACTCTGATCATTCAATCTCAATGAAAAGTATTAATGTAAAGTATTCAATTATACACTCAATCTGCATTCATATTGAGCTTCAAATATGTACACATATTTTTTCACTGTCTTAGTGAAATGATAAAGTTTAATCCAAAGGCAATGCCAATGTGTCCGGCATTAACGTTTTATAGTAAAGATGAACTACCACAGATGATGATCAAATGACTCAACATATTTTGCGCTTCACAAAAGTTATTTCTAAAGAAAATTCAACTTTCTTCTTTCCACAGGAGTGAAACTGTCCATGAGGAGTTTGGTCGATTGTTGGACAAGCTGGAGGAACAACGAGCCAATCGCAACGGAACTCTGGTGACTATTGCACGAGGCCTGTTCTTGCAGAAAAACTTTCCAATCAATCAAACCTTCGTCAAACAGACAATGGACATCTACCACACAGAGGTCCAGCGAGTTGACTTCCAGCAGAACTCCCGAGAGGCACAGACAATCGTCAACAAGTGAGTATTTATTATTCATCCCTGTTATCAAAGCTGTTGGAAATTTATAAGGTAGAATTATAAGTTTACTAATTTTTGTTGATATGCCAGGGACTTGAACCCATTTTTCTCCTACTGATATGTGAGACACTTAATACTATGCTAGCAACACACCCAAAACCTTGGTAATATTGTGATCAAGGTTAGAGAATGAGTTTGTTGGAAATACCTCACTCTAGCTATTCTATTTATTGTTTTAAAGGTGTGTTGATAGCTTGATTGGGAGAAGAGAGAATTTGGAAGCATGATTTGGAATGTTTAAGGTTGTGTTTGGTACTATTTCTGACAAAAACTTCTTGATAAGCATTTTACTTGTATTTGTGTGTGGTATTTCTACATATTTTGGTATACCTTCATTTATGCTGTAAAAATTTACTACAAGGTAAATATGTATGTTAAAATGGCAATTCATTACGACCAGAAACACTGGCATCATCTTGAGGATAGTCTAAATCAATAGAAAAAATAAATAAATAGAATCAATTTTATTTATTATCAATAATCACATTACATCAATCTAATTGACAGGTGATTTGTCCATAAGTCTTAATTATTACTAAAAGTAGACTAAAATTAAAAATGAGAAAATTAAAATCTATTTTTGCTCTGATAAGAATTCATCAACACTGTAAAAAGCCTTCTCAATAAAATCCATCAAAATAAAAGTTTTATTTTGTAATTATTAGCTTTTATTTGTTAGTGTGATAGTGTGACGCTTCAAAGCTTGAACCGTCTTTTCCATGGAAAATACAAGAAACAGAAAATGAAACAGTGAATTACCCAGATAAATCTGTCTTCATACTGAAAGTAATTCTTGCTTCACAATTACTTCAACATTAAATGACCTTGTGCATAACAGAAGTTTCTCATTACAGGTGGGTAGAGAACCGCACGGAAGGTCACATCAAGAATCTGCTTCAGCAAGAACCAGACTCTATGACCACGACTGTTATCGCTAGCGCTCTGTACTTCATCGGCCAATGGGAGAACCCCTTCTACCCAGGCGCTACCAAACAGTAAGTCACACCTCTTAGAGATCTAGAGTTATTACATAACTGCACATTCATCATCCATTGCAAAATGTAACCCATTTTGCGGATAGAGGATTTGTTACCCCTCATGATATATTCTCTGGACCCAGGCTGTAAGATAACACAATTTACCTTTTAAATTTTGTAATCCAAGAATGTTCAATAATTATTAGGCAGTTTGCACTCACGTTACACGTTATATTTTTCCAACAGTTACTATAAACATTGACTATATACCATAAATATAAAGCATATAAATAATTAGTCTTTCAAACACTGTACTTTTAGGTTAGGTTAAAAATCTAAAAAATGTAAGTAGATGCAGCAAATAGCAACTTTCTTTTCTATAATCAGTGCAAGGAAGGCCACTTTGTCAGGTGACTGTAGGAAATAGTTATTTGTGCAACTAGGGGGCGAAGTGGCTTTTTGCTGCACATTAGAGAAATGTTTACGCACGAGTGTGGAAAGTTTCTCCAGTGCAGCAAAGGCAGTTTGAACTCGTCTTACACATTATATCTTTCCTACAGTTACTATGAATACCCACTATAAATATAGTCTTTCAAATACTGTACATCACGTTTTTAGGTTATGCTAAATACAAACATTGAACAAAATAGAAAACGCTGCACCAGCTGATCGCATGTTGCCAAGCGTACACGGATTACGTGCATAATAAAAGCATGCTGTTTTGTGTTGTTTGGTTGGAATACTGGTGTGCGCCAAAGTAAAAACTATGCCCCAAAATAAGGCTTTCTGTTCTATAGGTAATTTGTGCAAGGAAGCCCACTTTGTCTGATGACTGTAGTAAAATACATTTTGTTTGAGTTGTTACTAACATTTCTTTATTATGTTCGCTATGACAGTCACATAGTCAGCACCTGACCCTGGACAATCTCAACTATTAGGTAACAAATGCGCCCTAACACTACCCCAAAACGACTTTTCGAATGCTCTCAATTGGCCCTTTATCAATGACCTGTGTTGTCTGTACAGCGAGGCATTTTGAAAAGGAGAAAACCAGCCGGAATGCTTTAGGTTTAACAATAACGAAGATAAACATGGTCTGAGTTACACACCAGTAATCTTTGAGTTGACTCTTTTAAACTTATTTTAAATATGACTGTTATTCGTTTTGAAATAACTCCTGTATTACTTTGCAATCGCTCGAATTTGTACACTAGTATAAATTAATTCACTTTGGAAGAGAAACTTTAGGTAGTTCTAAACTAGGTTATTTCAAGAAACTCTTAATTTGGTCATATAACATAAGTGGTTTTCTCTCCTCTTACATTATGTTTATTTGGTAGGCTACAGTGCAGTTTTACCAATGTTCTAGGAGTCTTGTAATTTGAGACACTCCGTTGTTAGCAAATGAGGTGTATTTTACTTTGCTTAAAGGGAAAATCTTTGAATATGGACTTTAACACTTATTTTAAAGAAATACTGAAATATATACTACAACACACAACATCAACTAACCAAGATCATAAACCATTGCTACATATAGTACCGGTACTATCCATACCTGCAGCTATATTGAACATATGGACTGATTTTAAATAATTACTTTTTTCCAGAAAACCCTTCTACGTCGGCAAGCAAGCGGGCAGCAACCACAACGAAATCATCAATGTGGACCTGATGGTTAATGGAGCCGACATCCCGTACTACGCAGATCCAGACCGCAAGTGCACCATCATCGGCATGCCTTACAAAGGTGATGTGATGACTATGTATGTCATTGTGCCTGACGGAGACGTAAAAACCTTCCTGGACAACACAGGGCACGATGATCTGGAACATCTTGTTAAAAAGACGGAGACACAACCTGTAATATTCCTCCTGCCGAAGATGCGCCTTGAGAGCACAATCAATTTGGTTCCTCCTCTAAGGAACATGGGAATCAAAACTCTTTTTGACTCTCGTACTTCCAACCTGACCAATATCGCAGAGGGTGTGTTTGTCAATGAAGCCGTTCACAAAGTAGAGATAGACATCAATGAGAGCGGAACTGTCGCTGCTGCTGCAACCGCTTTCACCTTCACTAGAGACGGGTCGAGTCCTGTTGTCAAAGTTGATAAACCGTTTGTATTTTTCATCCGTCACGATGAGACTGGCATCATTTTGTTCTGGGGAAAAGTGATCAAGCCTATCCCCCATTACCCGATCCCTCACGACTAATGAGGTTGTACACAGCTGTGTATAAATGTATAACACTGTGAGTTCCTTATGTGTAGCTAGTAACTTTTGCCTGACTTATCAGGTTGGATGTGATTGTTTATAGTCAAGTCATTTGTATATTATTGTATATAGTTGTGATATCTACTTGTAAATATTATTATAACTTTGGTTATCAAACAAAATATATTTTCTTGAGGAATTTAGATACATTTTTTCAATCGTTAGAATAAAGGGTTTTTAAAGCATTGCTCTTAAAATTTGTCATCATTATTCTTTTCTTTGGAACATTTTAGTGGATCTTACTCAGCAATATATATTTTTAAATTTGTTATATTTTCTTTTCTTATATTATTCCAACCAAACTGTGATTCTAGTCTTTAGCTTTGTAATACATCCAATATAATTAATTAGTAAACTCAAGTTACTTGTGGTTATTCTTTTTAGTCGGGCATTTTACTTAGTAGCGTTTATACTCTTTGAATTTGAAATTGGGGTATCATTTTTTAAACTAGGAGTGTTACATTGTCAAATGTCATGTAATGACATAGAAACCTACAGCTCATAGAAACATTTTTTAATGTATATTAACATGTAAGTTGTACACCCAGTATTAATAATAAACATTTCTAATTGGGTTTGTAATTAATTGAGAGCTTCTACCTTGCAAAATTTCAAAGTTTATTTAGATTACAATGGTTATCACATGAATTTGGCTTTGTGAGATTATATTCTAAAATCAAAGGTGGTAGTGCCTTGGGCTGATACAGCCTATTCTACGATTGGAGACTGAGTCTGCATACTGTCTGTTACACAGTTCCTGGTACAAGTTTCCGATTTGTTTTGTGTTCACACTTGCAAGCCAGTGTTGCTCTTGGGATGGGAATTGAAGAGGATTTTATATTATCCTGTCTGTGCTTCATACCTCTTAACTATGTGGATGATGTACCGAGAAAGACAATGGTGGACCTGCAAGGTTTGTTAAAGAAGGTTCGTATTATGGTCAAAACTACTATCCTAAGGTCATTCGAACCTTTCAGGTTCCGTCATTCTGTTATTAAGATTTGTTGGACCAGATAACGATGAAATGTACTCGTTACACAGCTGCAATTTCAGCCCTAAACTGAACACCAACGGATCTGGGCTGTATCCGGTCTTCTGTCTCCTGACACGTCCACACATACAAACTTGTTGAGACAAAAGACTTGTATCTTGTCTCCCATTTGTATGGGAAACAGAAAACACTATCTTGTTTATAGAATAAAAAAAATTGTCTGCCGGTAGACAGTCTACAGAAAGTTGTCCAATTATTTTGAGACACCGCTAGATACAAAGGCATCAATACGAAGACAGTCGGCCGATAATGTTTTTTCGGAGACAAATCGCCAAGTGTGGACTAGTCAGATATATGGTTCAGACACATTTTTACACGGTGATCAGCTTGTGGTCCCTGGCTTTTGCTTGTATGTGTGACTTACTATTACAAGAACAACATACACTTGTAATAATATTGTGTGTAGGCACTACTTGTCCAAAAACTAATTTATTTTTTTTTTTAATTACCTAAATATAATATTTCTTTTTCCCACAAATATTAGCAACAAGCAGAGTTCAGAAACAATGATCTTGTAAAGGGTGAAGTTATTCTGAAAAATTATAAAATTTCTGTGAAATAAATCAAGGGCGGAGAAACGATTTGTAAATATGCTATTGATAACTGCATGATTCTCAAAGACCAAGGCAGGAGTCAGTAGTTTCTTTCCACCAGGCCACAATGTTCCTTATCTTAGCAGTCATTTTTTAATAAACTCTGAGCAGGAATTTTCAGAATTTAGGGAAGAATTCAATATCTTGAAAAATTGACATTGAATGTCTAGCAGGTGAGGATAAATCCACTGCTGAGGCTAAACATCGGTACAACCCCTTGTCTAAGGGTCCAGGGTTCAAGATGCGAAGCGCAGAGCCTGTAGGGTTGTACTGCACTGTGAACTCGTGAGAAATACCTGAAAATATAAAGCGGTTTACAAACATATTAACATTATTTAATTAACATACACTAATTTTACATGACCGTGCCAAATTTGAGTGAATGTAAAATTCACTACATTGTACATTTTAAGCAGGATCTGTTATAATATCATAATTATTTTTTCGCTACATTACTATGAGTTGAGCTGTCTTTGTTATGTGTTTACAACCTGCGAAACATCATATTTTCAACAGCTGTCTATTGTTTACTACAGAAAGTACCATCGTTTACAACCGAAAATTTTCCACCGTCAACAACTTCAAATATTTGTTATTGTTTTATCAACTGTTCAATGAATTTTCAACAATTAAAGTAAATATTAACATTAAATTGAACGCATAACCTAAAAAATTCTATAAATTTTGTAATGAAGAAAATATTTATTCTTTGTAGTGTAGCGAAAAGTAACATTCAAAACACGAGTGAAAGTGGGTCTATACATATCCTCGACAATTTAAAGTGCTCGATAAATCTCACACTTCAAACATGGTATCAAATATGTAATGACTCACATTCTACTCTTGTAATTAAATATATTGAGATATCGGCACTAACTAGATGAATTTGTTGTATTCAATTAATTGCAATATAGAGTTTAGAATGGATTGAAATGATCCGTGTAGCTTTTTTACCAGTTTTGTGTGTAGCTAATAAAATCAGATGTTTCTTTAGCCAGGACTAGTTGACCAAAGACAGCTGGGAAAAGTTTGAAAAGGCAATAAACTGCTGACTTTTTCAGGATTGAACATGTGGACTTATAATTGTCAGGTAAACGTAAACTACTGTTGCCTACTTGGTTAGGTACCCAGCTAAACAGTTTAACCCTATGAACTCTATGGATTATTCAGTGATTTAGTTATACCTACCAATACTGTATTTTAATAATTTTTTTCTACATCTTATAAAAACAAAAGACTATCGGCTTGCTTACTCTTCTGGCTTGTACAGTCTTCCTCACTTTCACTTGTGACCTACCGTAAGTATAAATCAGATGTTTTTTTTTTGTTTTTTTTTCCTAGGACGCTAGGCACGAGCCTGGGATTGTTTTTCACATTACTTCAGGCTAGACCTAGGGGTTGCGGCATTATCACTTAGATAAATCCATTGGTGACTTGGCGGGGATCGAACCCGGGACCTCAGGGACTGAAGTCCCGCGCTCTAACCACTACGCCAGCTCGCTCCCCCCATAAATCAGATGTAGAGTGTATAAGAAATGCACTCACCAAATCTTCTGTATATTTGGTTAAGACTGTTCCTATCCCCAAGATCAGCTCTTTCCCAGACCACGTTCTGAAATATAGATTCACAATTGAAGGAAGAACATAAAAATTGTTTAAATAAGCAGATTTTAGTTCCTGTCATACCATATAGGAAAACCTACATATTTCTTACTTGTATGCTACCATAACTATTGAGGAAAGATGGATAAGAGAAATAGTTGTTTCACTGAGCTGCTGGACATAAAAAAACATGCATGAGTTTGAATTGTTATAAAGTGAATAAGAAAAAACCGAGAGCTCCGAGAACTGTACAAAGAACCGGACATTGTAGCCATAGTGAAGAGTAGACGACTGAGATGGGCAGGCCATGTAGAAAGAAGGAAAGAAGAAAGTTTGCTTAAGAAGATCGCCAATGGACAACCACGAGGCACTGGCCCGCTAGGAAGACCGAAGTTGAGATGGAGAGACCATGTCCAGAAAGACCTACACAGAGTGGAGGCATCTCTTGACATGGCGGCAGACCGGCAGCAGTGGAGGCAACTTGTTGGCGAGGCCAAAAACCTTCTTAGGTTTGAGTGGCCAAGGAGGTAAGGTAAGGTAAAGTGAAAATAATTAAATAATCTAGGTCCACCGGTTCACGTATTAGTATTGCTCCCTTGTACCGTGCCGTAACACAACCCTTACTTATTAGCATTGATAAAAAGGTTGTCCATTATTAAGGTCTCCATCAAGCTCTTATCACAGTCAAGTAACCTGAGACCAACCCTGTATTCTTTACTTCATTCACTTCAATTCCAACCAGTTCCCATCCCTATTCAACAACACATGACATATGCCTTGTCATGATAGCAAAAAGTGGCGAGGTAGGAAATCTACTCTTCTTACATACACAGTTCATACAGTTTTACTTGATAAGGCCCGTGTCACGCTACGATATATCGCAGCGATCTGATTGCACCAACAAATTGTTGTGATAAATTGGACATTGGTGTTCTGTCCATTCGCAAAGATTTTTTGCCCCGACTTCCTTTGCAATTTGTCGGTCTTTTTTCAGTTGTGATCAACATGGAAGGGATACTGTTGTGGTCCCTGCATGTAATTTGTTTGACCAGATAGTAGCGAGAAAGAGATGACGCAAACCAAGAAGTAAGTGGTGTAGTTCTTGGCGTCTCAAGAGAGAGACAAGTTTTCACAAGTGAGACTACTGATAGAGTTGAGAGATGAACCGAACGACTGGCGCATCTATTTGACAATGACAGAAAACTGTAATACGTTACGAGGCTTTATGCTGGTTGAGGCTACTGACCGAGAGAAATACGAAGAGGGCACAATCGAACTGGGTTTTGAGCTGAGGATTGCAGCAATAAGTTGAAGCGCTGTCTAGACGTTCCAACCTGTCGCTCCAACCACAATATCGTTGCCAACCATCGCCAGAAAAATTAAAAGTTTAATAAACCGTCCAATTACTGATATATTGCAGCAATCTTCGGTCCAGCGCTCCGATTATCATAACGATATGATTGGTACCGATCAGATCACTGCGATATATCTTAGCGTGTGGACAGGGCTATAGTCTTATAGAGACGTCCTTTATCAGTTCGGCATTCCCTCATTCAGTTACATCACAACCCTTATGCAAAGCCTCTAAAGCTTTTGCCACTTCATCAAAATAGACTGCTGAACAACCACAGCAAGCATATACCATGCAAAGCAAAGCATAGTGCAAATTGTTAGAACCATCTACAAACATACCGTTCCTCTTACTCCTTACGTACATGGTCTTCATCTTAACACTTTACTCAATCCGTTCACCCTTCAAAAGTTGGTGGACCTTGATAGTGGTTGACACCTTAGATTAGAGAAACCTAATCTCAGAACGCAATTCATACTTGGTGGGAGCAACCAAAATAAATATTAGTATTTATTTAAAAATAAGTAAACTACTCCATAGTTTCTTACTGTACTCACAGAAACAAGTTTGAGATGTGGAGGAAAGTTGCAGATGAGCTCTGCACCTGCAGGTCCGAGTCTGTAGTGTCCTCGGCCCACACGCACCCGACCTGGGCGTCCATGCACCTGCTCATCATAGAACGCCCACCTACAAACAATACAACTATACTGATACTGTTCATGGAGAATGAATACACTGTGACCTAAAATGTTAGATTTTGCCCCCTAAACCTGTGCCTAGTCCTGCCTAGAGCATCCCTTCCAGCCATAATTTGTTGACAAAATCCAGTATCTGATAGGGTCCTAACAGGGGAATATCCCTCATCACTATCAAGTACAGCACCGAGACTCTTGGCGCTCTTGCAGCTGAATACCTCGCAATCTGCTGAAAGATGCTTCAGGGATTCTTCCATTGACTGACAAAATAGACATCATCCCTTAGATGAGTCATTCAGTTATTACTCAACATCTTTTGGGATATTCTTTAGTAAACACAACTAGTTTCGTTTTGTCATCCTGCCCTTGCTAAAGCAGGATTATCTCGTTTGTTCCCTGTCTTCTTTTTTCTGGAGACTTATTTGCCGTCCCCCTAGTCTCCAGCTTTCTTTTTACCAAATTTTTAACATTATATATTTGTATGAATACTGTTCCCACAAGCCAGGGATTTGGAAAGTCGACCCACACAGAGACAAACGTGGGGCAAGGCTGTTAACTGCAAGATTTCATCAGGTCTGCATGAAACAGGACATTACATGGATATCATGGTGCTGTGGAGCAAATGGCATCTTAGGTCACCTGTTTAAAAGTAACAGCCTTAGAGAAAAGGGGCCAGAAATGTGGGTGAAGAGAAGAGTAGACAATAGTTAGATAAACACAGTTAATCATTGTGTTTGAAAACTGGAAACATGAATTATAGGGCAGTCCCTGTTCAGTTGTGGAAGAGAGTTAGTTGTGGAAGAGAGTTAGTTGCGGAAGAGAGTTAGTTGTGGAACAGGGAGGCTGTCTGTCAATGTACATGCCACCGGGGGATGGGATTACAAACCCCTAAGCCAAACAAAAGTACAGTGTACGCTAAATAGCAAAGGGTCTTCAACTAGAAAACCAGGAGATGTGGAGGAAAGAACTTGAGAAAAAGGTTAAGATCATGACACCCCTACCTGTTGAAGCTTATGTTCTGCTACTACTTTCCCTCTCTGTCACCGTGTCTCTCTTGTTCTGTGTAGCTCTCATATATTCTTAACCTTTATTCGTCCATCTCCTTTAAAGCCTGTCTTTCCTCATTATGACATTTGTCTTAGCAACTGGTTTGGTTAACTCTCCTGGCAAAATTATGGCATACCATAATGACATACTTGTGTTCTCACTCAATATGAATGCACAACGAGTGTATAATGGAGTAATGTGATATGTGGGGCTCTATTAAAGACTAAGATCAGCTGTTTATTTATACTTATACCGGGCCACACTTATCAAAAATTCAATGATCAAGGACAGTGTGTCCAGTTTTCAACTACCTATCAAAAAATTATTTTCTGGCAATCTAACTGGCGACTTTCTGAATGTTATGCAAGAAAAGATAACCCCACAGATACTAATTGATGATTTGTATGACTTTCACGGTTTCGTCGTGCATAGATTATATCATAATGAATAATGAGATACTTATTTTTCAATAAATGAATCGTACAACAAACTCATCAGATTGAAATACTCTGCAGACTGCGAGGTGGTCAGGTTCTATTGTCAAGCAAATGTTTGAACACGTCATTCCATTATTGGTCCGTTCCTTGTCTCCGAACGTTTACAGTCCGCCGTTCCCCGTCTAATCGATCTTTTCGCACGTCCTGCACGCGGCCCTCAGCTACCAATCTGTTTCACCTCTCCTCTGTCAATCAATTTCGGTCTCGCAAGGAGTTTCCTCTTTAGAATCCCCGACATTGTGTCGACCTTCCAGAATAACTGATTACTCAAGTAACCAACCTTTAAACACTGGCGTCCCTGTCTCCAGCGAGTTGTGAAATTCTTATTGTTCGCCCCTAGCTGGCTCGTTGGCAAGGGAAACTCCATGCAAATGCTTTGTATGATTTTATTTTGCAAGATTATATTCCATTAATGTTGTTACAACAATTAGCTTCTTTCGATCTTGTTTAGTGTGTTTTGGCAGCAAGCTACATCACCGATAAGAGATATTTGTTTATAAATTATTTAATCTATCAAAATTATATATTTAGTTTGTCTTCGATAATATATAATGTACGGGTAGCCGAGTGGTTATAGGCTGGTCTTCAAATCTGAAAATTAGAGGTTTAATTATATATGAGGTCTAGTATGGACCCAGATACGATGTGTTGTCAATTAAATGTTACATGCAACAATAGGTCGACATAGTAACTCGACGATAAAAGACAAGGTAACATATCCAATTACGTTAAAATGCAATAAATGTTTTTGTATCCAACGGAATTGGACTAATTCAAACAGACACGACCGGTCTAAAAGTTTTGAGGGACTTCTGTCCATTAAAGCAGAGTTAAATCAATCAACAATGTTAATTTGCTAGCTGATAATCCGTGACAGGTGAAGCCAATGCTTCGGAGTATGTATGGAGATATGGATCCACCAAGTTGAAAACAGATAGGTTTTCTAGCGAGGTAATCTGTAATTTTCAATCCCGTTTACGAATTGAACATATATATTACGAGTGCGTAATATAAATAACGGAAAGTAAATAAAAGAAACGTCTTATAACACTTAAAACATATATTTACGCTTATACTGTTACTCACAAGACGGTAAATATACAAAAACGATGGTAAGTGGTGATCGATTTCGATTGGACACTCCAATCATCATCAGACCCAATAGGCGAATGACAAGAATCTTGAATGGCGTCCCTACTTATACCCTATTGGCTACCGGAAGCACCGGCCAATACATTTTTGTAAGTACAACTGGAATCAAAATGTATTTGTTCATTAATCAACTTATTTCTATCTTTACATTTTTCCTTATAAATATACAATTCTTCCCAAGCATTCATTACATATCCTTTCTTACAATTCTTTAAAATATCTAGACTATCCTCCATTTTTCCTAGTGAGTGCCCATTTTGTAACAGGTGTTGTGCGACATTTGATCTTTCCGGTTTGTTGTTCCTCCACGCAGATATGTGGTTTTTGAAGCGGTTTACGAAGTTCACAGTCTGTCCAATGTAGAAGCTATCACAATCGTTACAATTGATTTTATAGATGCCCGAAGTGTCAAATTTGTTACAATCTTCTATTTTTGGATGCAGTATTTTACTCATGGTGTTCTGAGTCCTGTAGGCTATTGAAACTCCGTATTTCTTGAATCTGTTAGCAGTCCTTTGTGTTGTAGTCCCCGTGTAGCTAAATGTGATATATCTGGTGCTTTCCTCTTTTATCTCTTCTAATGTTGTTCTGCTGTGTAGTGTATTCTGTCTATCGATTTTTCTCCTCGTCTTCCTTGCGATGTCCTCTATCGTCTTGGTTCGAAATCCATTCACTTGGGCGATCTTCTTAATGGTGTCCAGTTCTTTTTTCCTATTGGCTTGGCTAAGTGGGATCTTATAGGCTCGGTACAGCATAGATCTAAAGGCTGCGGTCTTGTGGATTGTCGGATGGATAGACTTGTTGTTGATTGTAGTGTCCGTTTGCGTAGGTTTCCTGTAGATGTCAAACTCTATCTTGCTGTCTTTTCTCTCTAATGTGAGGTCCAGGAAGTTGATCTTTTTGTTTTCTTCAAACTCGTTGGTAAAGGTGAGGTTTGGGTGGTGGCTGTTTAGTGTCTGCATAATCGTTTCATGCTCCTGCTCCTGGGCTTGTCTGAAGATAACAAGAATGTCGTCTACATATCTAACATACAGTTTTACATCATGATTCTTTCTTAAATTCATTAACATTTCTTTTTCCTGGTGCTGTAAAAATATTTCTGACAAAATTGCCGAAAGTGGACTTCCCATAGCTAAACCATCTGTTTGTTCGTAAAATCTATTGTTAAATCTAAAATAATTTTGCTTCAAAACAGTCACAAGCAATTTTACAATCTGATTGACATATGCATCGTCTAAACTATTCTGCAAATCTGGTTCAGTTCTTCTTTTTCACAGTAAAGTTGTTTGATCATATTTTTGATGAATAATACCTCTCCTTGTTCCTTTGTTCTTTTAGCGGCAGTGGTGTTACAGTTGACCTTGATTTTAGCGTATTGTGGTGTAATCCTCTTCTTGATACATTCTTTGTTGAAGTAAATATCTGCAATCTTCATGGAAATCTTGATTCTTGTATCCCTATATTTTGCTGCTAACTTATCAGAAACTGTAGATCTTGTTAAATGTAGGCTTTTGCAGAATAGTTTAGACGATGAATATGTCAATCAGATTGTAAAATTGCTTGTGACTGTTTTGAAGCAAAATTATTTTAGATTTAACAATAGATTTTACGAACAAACAGATGGTTTAGCTATGGGAAGTCCACTTTCGGCAATTTTGTCAGAAATATTTTTACAGCACCAGGAAAAAGAAATGTTAATGAATTTAAGAAAGAATCATGATGTAAAACTGTATGTTAGATATGTAGACGACATTCTTGTTATCTTCAGACAAGCCCAGGAGCAGGAGCATGAAACGATGATGCAGACACTAAACAGCCACCACCCAAACCTCACCTTTACCAACGAGTTTGAAGAAAACAAAAAGATCAACTTCCTGGACCTCACATTAGAGAGAAAAGACAGCAAGATAGAGTTTGACATCTACAGGAAACCTACGCAAACGGACACTACAATCAACAACAAGTCTATCCATCCGACAATCCACAAGACCGCAGCCTTTAGATCTATGCTGTACCGAGACTATAAGATCCCACTTAGCCAAGCCAATAGGAAAAAAGAACTGGACACCATTAAGAAGATCGCCCAAGTGAATGGATTTCGAACCAAGACGATAGAGGACATCGCAAGGAAGACGAGGAGAAAAATCGATAGACAGAATACACTACACAGCAGAACAACATTAGAAGAGATAAAAGAGGAAAGCACCAGATATATCACATTTAGCTACACGGGGACTACAACACAAAGGACTGCTAACAGATTCAAGAAATACGGAGTTTCAATAGCCTACAGGAC